AAAGATAATCCACACAAATAGAAACCAAAATGAGGGGTTGCCATTTTGATATCAGATAAAATAGACTTCAAACCAAGAACTATGAGAAGAGACAAAGAAGGACATTATATAATGATAAAAGGATCAATGCAACAAGAAGATATAGCAATAATAAATATATAGGTACCCAACACCAGAGCACCCAGATATATAAAGCAACTGTTATTGGATCTAAAGGTAGAGACAGACCCCAAGACAATAATAGTTGGGGAATTTAACACACTGCACTCAGCACTGGACAGATCATCTAGGTGAAAAATTCACAGAGAAATATTGGACATAAATAGCACTTTAGACCAAAAGAACTTGACAGACATTTAAGCAAAATATACATTCTTCTTATCAGCACACTGGTCATTCTCCAGGATAAACCACATGTTAGGCCACAAATCAATTCTCAACAAATTTAAAAAGATTGAACTCATATCAAGTATATTTTCAGACTGCAATGAAATAAAATTAGAAATTAACAGCAAACAAAACTTTGGAAACTGTACCTAAACATGGAAATTAATCAACATACTCCTAAACAACCAATGAGTCAAAGAAAAATAAAACACAAAGTCAAAGAATTCCTGGAAACAAATGAAAATACAAGCACAACTTACCAAACCCTATGAGCTAATGCAAAAGCAATAGTAAAAGGAAAGTTTATTGCAATAAATGTTTACATCAAAAGAAAATACTTCAAATAAGCAACCTAATGTTNAAAGATAATCCACACAAATAGAAACCAAAATGAGGGGTTGCCATTTTGATATCAGATAAAAGACTTCAAACCAAGAACTATGAGAAGAGACAAAGAAGGACATTATATAATGATAAAAGGATCAATGCAACAAGAAGATATAACAATAATAAATATATATGCACCCAACACCAGAGCACCCAGATATATAAAGCAACTGTTATTGGATCTAAAGGTAGAGACAGACCCCAAGACAATAATAGTTGGGGACTTTAACACACTGCACTCAGCACTGGACAGATCATCTAGGTGAAAAATTCACAGAGAAATATTGGACATAAACAGCACTTTAGACCAAAAGACCTTGACAGACATTTAAGAACATTTAATTCAACAAATGCAAAATATACATTCTTCTTATCAGCACACTGGTCATTCTCCAGGATAAACCACATGTTAGGCCACAAATCAATTCTCAACAAATTTAAAAAGATTGAACTCATATCAAGTATATTTTCAGACCGCAATGAAATAAAATTAGAAATTAACAGCAAAGCAAAATATACAGTCTTCTTATCAGCACACTGGTCATTCTCCAGGATAAACCACATGTTAGGCCACAAATCAATTCTCAACAAATTTAAAAAGATTGAACTCATATCAAGTATATTTTCAGACCGCAATGAAATAAAATTAGAAATTAACAGCAAACAAAACTTTGGAAACTGTACTTAAACATGGAAATTAATCAACATACTCCTAAACAACCAATGAGTCAAAGAAAAATAAAACACAAAATCAAAGAATTCCTGGAAACAAATGAAAATACAAGCACAACTTACCAAACCCTATGAGCTAATGCAAAAGCAATAGTAAAAGGGAAGTTTATTGCAATAAATGTTTACATCAAAAGAAAATACTTCAAATAAGCAACCTAATGTTATACATCAACAAACTAGCAAAACAAGAACAATCTAATCCCAAAACTAGTAGATGGAAAGAAATAATTAAGATCAGAGCAGAGCTAAATGAAAGAGACCCCCAAAAAGATATAAAACATCAATGGAACCAAAAGCTGTTTTTTTGAGAAGATAAACTAAATAAACTATTAACTAGACTAACTAAAAAAAGAGAAGACTCAAATAAATATCAGAAATGAAAAAGGAGACATTACAATTGATACCATGGAAATACAAAGAATCATTACAGACTATTACGAATATCTATATGTCAATAAATTTGAAAACCTGGAGGAAATGGATAAATTTTTGGACACACACAAACTACCAAGATCAAACCAAGAAGAAATACAAAACCTGAACAGACCAATAACGAGCAACAAGATTGATGCAGTAATCACCAGTCTCCCAATAATGAAAAGCCCAGGTCCAAATGCCTTCACTGCTGAATTCTTCCAAACCTTTAAAAAAGAATTAATAGCAATCCTTTTCAAACTATTCCAAAAAATTGAAATAGAGGTCATTCTCACAAATTCGTTCTATGAGGCCAGCATCATCACCCTGATATGAAAATCAGACAAAGACACAACAAAAAAAGAAAGCTACAGACAGCTGTCTCTGCTCAGTTCCTTTCCCATGTCTATATGGCTTGTTCCTAGCTGACCACACTCCTTATATCTAGATGGCCCTCTCAACAGTGTCCTGCCACATCATCATCTAATAAACAGAAACCACCAAGTAGAATCTTCCTTAATATCCCTCTTCTCTACTTTTCTAGCTTAATTTTATCTTCACCTCTCTTTCTCCAGACGCAGAAGAAGGGTATGCCCCTGTATCTTTTCCAGGCCCATTCCTTGGGCTCCAACCTACTATGCAACTGTCCACCAGTCATTCATACCCCTTCTCCTGGTCAATCTCTCCTCTCCATTGGTTTCTTGTCAGTCCCAAATGCCCTGAAGTCATCCTGATTCCAGGAGGCTCTTTTCCATCAAGCATACCCCACCAGCTAACTCTCCCAGCTACTCCTCACTTTTCTCCACTGTCCCTGGCTCCTGCCTCTGCAACTTCTAAGTTGCAATCAGGCTTCTGCACCCCCTAGCCCTCCCAGTGCCACTGAAAGTGCTCTCACAACAGCTGCTCTCAGGGACAAAAGACAAAATCCAACCATTTTGTTTCAGTCCTTACTTCAAGAGAAAACTGTCACTGACACTGCTAGTTGTCCCAAAATAACAATTTCTCTTGGCTTTTAAAATAGAATCCCCCAAATATATTCCATCCATCCCTTGTAGTTAAATGTGGTTGTAGGAGGAAACTCTGCCCAATGGAATGTGAGCAGCAGTAATGAGTACAGCATCTGGGTCATATCCTTAAAAGGAAGGGATGCCTCTTGCTGTCTGGGATGTAGGACGTGGTCTGGTGAGCCACATTGGCCACATTTTCCATGAGGATGATATCTACACTCTGGGGATGTGAGGAACAAGATATAAGGACTAGGGCCCCAGATATCCTCATGGAGCACAACTGCCCTGCCCCACAACCCACCCTTGAGCTCAGAGAGACTGACTGGATGAAGGTCACAAAGCTACAAAAGGCAGAGCTAGATTAAGAACCAAGTCCAAGCCTAGTACTCTTTCCAGTATATTACTTGGTAAACTACAATTGGTTCTGGGAGGGAGGGTTCTAACAGCCTCTATTTCCACACATTCACAGTAACTTCTGGCTGTTAGGTTTCAATTTAGCCATGAATAAGTCAGCTCTTCAAAGTCTAAAAATATTTCAAGGAGCTCAATTTTACATACCTTGCTTGGGATTGTCTTTCTCCTCCTGAAGCACTGAAACTTCTCTTTAAAATGCCTGAAAGAAGAAAATAAAAAATAACTTTACATTATCTCCTCCACAAATCTTTTTATTTTTATTAAAACCAAAAAAGGAATGCTGCATTTCCATGATCTGAGCAGTTGCACATGCTGTAAAGATTTCCTTTGTTTATGAAAGCATAAGCTAAAATATAATGTTACAAATTACTATTTATTTGACAGGTTTGTTTAAGGGTCTTTTTCCAAAGAAAAGGTGCTAAACAAACAAACAGAAAGAGCTGTTATTAATAGCTAGCAAAATACAATGAAATATCTGTGTTAATTATCCTAAAGCTGTTGCCAAATGAGCTACAAGTTATCACAAGCAAATTTAAGCATTTAGCTTCTAACTTCCAGCCTCTCCACTGACCCTTCCCACCACTGTTACCAGAGCTGTACAGCACTGAATTCATCACCAAACAGTCAGTAATAAGCTGCTTCTAGAACTTGCTACACATGTTTATATGAATGAATATTTTTTCCTGTTTTATATTCATATTTTCCCAATTGCAAATCAAGACATTTTATCTAGCCATTAGGAATTTATAGGAAAAATAAGAGTATTGAAAACTGGGATTGTCCCAGAAGAATCTGGAACCTCTAGTCACAATTTTTTTTTTCCTTTTTGTCTTTTTTGTGTGTCCGGCAACGGATCGCAACCCTCAGTGTCGCGCCCGCACCTCGCTCAGCCAGTGAGCGGGAACCGGTCTGCATGTGGGATCCGAATCCTCGGCGGGAGAGCCGCCGCGCTCCCAAGTGGCGCACTGCTACAGTGGGCCAGCCCTCTAGTCACAATTTTGATGGACCAATTAAGTTTGGAAAAGACAAAGAATGTAGCTAAATCCTTAGGATATTACTTTAATCCTTAGAAAGACTATTTTAACCCTTCTTTTATGAGATTTTCATAGTATTTTGCTACTGAGGAGAAAGGATTATTTATACTTAATTTATTTCAGAGTACTTATATCTATATATTTTAATATTCTATCAACTTATTCTTTTAAAAAATTATTATTTTCTCTCCAGTTTTGGGTTTGTTGAATGTATTTGATCCTATCTTTTCTTATAATCTTTAAATTTTATCTAAATTTATCTTTTCTTTTTCTTTCCCATGCCCCCATATGACTATTTTCTTTAATCTTTTAAGTCAAAATTAACATANCCAAAGAAAAGGTGCTAAACAAACAAACAGAAAGAGCTGTTATTAATAGCTAGCAAAATACGATGAAATATCGGTATTAATTATCCTAAAGCCGTTGCCAAATGAGCTACAAGTTATCACAAGCAAATTTAAGCATTTAGCTTCTAACTTCCAGCCTCCCCACTGACCCTTCCCACCACTGTTACCAGAGCTGTACAGCACTGAATTCATCTCCAAACAGTCAGTAATAAGCTGCTTCTAGAACTTGCTACACATGTTTATATGAATAAATATTTTTTCCTGTTTTATATTCATATTTTCCCAATTGCAAATCAAGACATTTTATCTAGCCATTAGGAATTTATAGGAAAAATAAGAGTATTGAAAATTGGGATTGTCCCAGAAGAATCTGGAACATCTAGTCACAATTTTGATGGACCAATTAAGTTTGGAAAGAGAAAGAATGTAGCTAAATCCTTAGGATATTACTTTGATCCTTAGAAAGACTATTTTAACCCTTCTTTTATGAAATTTTCATAGTATTTTGCTACTGAGGAGAAAGGATTATTTATACTTAATTTATTTCAGAGTATTTATATCTATATATTTTAATATTCTATCAACTTATTCTTTTAAAAAATTATTATTTTCTCTCCAGTTTTGGGTTTGTTGAATGCATTTGATCCTATCTTTTCTTATAATCTTTAAATTTTATCTAAATTTATCTTTTCCTTTTCTTTCCCATGCCCCCATATGACTATTTTCTTTAATCTTTTAAGTCAAAATTAACATATCATATCTTCTCATAGTTCCAAAAAAGTAAAATATTTCTTTTATCTAGTGTTTTAAATATAATACGTTCCTTTACATCAATGTAAATAAAATTATATAAAAATTAGTCTGCACCAAGACTAATTTCTTCTTAGGCTTCTAATCCTTATAATCAACAGACTCATAAAAGGTCACTTCCATTATCCCTGCAGTTATTTGGCTGTCTCCAAATTGGTTATCTCAACTCCCCAGACAGAATCTGCATTTGCTGGTAGAAATAATGACACTATTCATTTGACAGCTGAGAAAATGTAAAACCACAGAGCTGGTTGCCCTTTGGGCTTTCTCAGAGATAGACACACCTGTTCTAATTAGCAGTGCACCTGCAAAGCAAACCACTAGGTTATGTATATGGTGATATTTACTTGAATATGATTCTCAACCACTACCTGTCGAGATCCCACAAATGGCAAACTGGTAAAGAAAGCTTACTGAACGTAGATTCTTTCAAAGGGCTTGAACTAGAGCTGCTGGAGTTATCTGAAATATCCAGTTCATCTTCAAGCTCTGAATATATATCTGCACATTAATAAAAACAATAAAAAAGGAAATGAACCTTGAGACAGCAAGGAGTCAAGAGGGCATTCGTGCTGACACCCTTTCATTAGAATTACCTTTCTCAATATTTTCCAGGTTGAAGTTATCATCTGACAGGACTTCATCACAGGCCCTGTCTTCATCCTTACCACAGGGGGCCTGGAAGCCTTCGGGGGGCAGGTCTGCACTTTCTGAAAGTTCACTTTTCAGGCTGGCTGCCCCACTGCTGCTGCTACTCAAACTGGCCTTCTCAAAGGTTTCCTGACAAGGGAAATTCAATTTTTAATAGCTTCGTCCTCCTTCCTTCCTTCTGCAGGACACAAAGCTTGTCAGAACATACATTAAAAGGCCTAAAATATAATTAAAAATATTTTATGCAGAAGTACCATCAGTAGTTCTACCTATACACCTGCTATAAAATCTGTTCAGTCCATAAATACAAAAAAAGTAGGTCTACAAGCAACCATTGGACAAAAAAGAATGGAGGTGGCAAGAGTGTTCAGAAGCAAAGGCCTGTACAATCTGGTAAAAAAAAAAAAAAAAAAAAAAAGACTGTACCTCTAAGGAAAAGACTATGTATCATTTTAGCAGAAATTTCTCTTCTTTAAATTTTTTCTAAAATACTTGCTACCGAATCCTCAGCATCATAGTGGACAAGTGCTATGGCTTGGATGTGCTTTGTCCCCGCCAAAATTCTTGTTGAAATCTGATCCCCAGTGTGGCAGTGTTGGGTGGTTGGACCTAGAGGGAGGTGTTTTAGTCATGGGGCAGTTTGCTCTGGCAGGAATAGACGAGCTCCCATGAGTTGAAGCAGTATGAGGCTCTCAGCAGGTGCAGCTGCACAATCTTGAACTTTCCAGACACCAGAATTGTGAGCCAAATAAACCTCTGTTCTTATAAATTACCCAGCCTCAGGTATTCTGTTATAGCTGCACAAAATGGACTAAGACAATAAGTAAGGCTTATGCTCTTCAGAGCTGAGGGGAAATTCATAGCAGATAAAAACGGACCATGGAGAGTGAGAAGTCAGGTCCCGACAGATGAAGAGCTGCAGAGAAAAGGACTTTCAAACCACTTGATCTATACCTTAGGTTTGTCAGCATTATTTAGCCCCTCAGCCTAACACAGGTCTGAAAGCTTTCATGTGTTTATGTTCCCTAAACAAGATGAAAAATATAAAACATAAAAAAGATATCAAAAACGTTTTGTACATTGCAAACTGTCTAGTCAATTGCTGTTTATTTTCTCTCCCTGGGAATCTTTCCAGAGTTCCTTTCTTCAATGTTCCTGTCTTTGTTGAAGCTAATATGTAGTTGAAGGAGCATTTTAATTTTAATTTTCTGTGCCTAGTCCTCCAACCAATGTTTAAAGTCTGCTTCTATCACTCAGAATTGTAATTCCTGATCCTTGGGTTCACCCTGGTCTGCTTACTTAGAAGCTGAGAGGGGAAATGCTTTGGATACCCTTTGGAAGAGCTGAATGTGTGCATCTCAGAAATGTTCTCAATGCCTAAGTCTAGTTACAGGCTTCTAATGTCAGCCTCAGTTTGCTTATACCCAGCCTCTGATTCCAAACCCAGGAGCTCCTCCTAAGGTCCAAAACTTTGCTGCCAAAACCATTCAACCGCTTCTTTGCTCTCCTTTTTCTGTCCCAACCCACAGAATCCATCTTTCTCCAATTAACCTCAATTGATATTATTAGAAATTTGCATGGAAATAAACAACCAATTTAGGGCCTTCTCCTCCTTATGATCTTTTTTATTCTAAATATGTCATCATCCACCCTATTCTAGAGACTGTAACTGACATTTACAACCTTCTAAGGTCTTTACACCCATGATGTGTCAATGATATCAAGGTTGAAAAGATATGAGAGAATTTTTGAGTTGAGAAACTTTTTATTGCATTGATGCAATTAGCTGCCAGAATCCATATATGTCTAAAAGTAGCAAAACTTCAGCAAAGGCTTTGTCTCTCTTAACCATAGGCATGTATAAGACATCAGAGGAAGACATTTTTCTTTGAACAAATGAAGTGTGGGGAGAATCTGTGAATCCTGAAAAACTTAAGGAGGTTCGACTTGCAACCCAAACCTAAGAACCAATTGGGTTGTAAATAAACAATCACTGGCAACTGCCAAAATGTGTTTGCATTAATTCAGATAAAAGAGAATTCACAATCTAAGAGAGATGCTTTTTCAGACTCCATAAATATAGGAGGTATGATGATATAAAATGTATAGCGTATTTTAGTTTAAAACCTACATTTCTATTACAGACTCTTGCTACAGTTTTTGCTTCAAAATTTGATAGAGTTTTTGACTTTGCCATAACCTGCATGCCACTGTAGGCAGATTTTCCCTAGTGTGATTTCCAGAGCTTTTTATTGTGAATATTTGAGTACCCAACTCTTTATCCAAATTGCTCCTTGAAGAACGGGGGGCTATTTGAGTCCCTTTTAAATCCCTCAGTGCCTTGCACAATGCCTCTCACACAGCAAATGCTCAATAAATAGTTGCTGTGTTAAGATCAAAAGGAAAGAAGGGACAGAAAAGCAGGTGAAGTCCGCTATAGGATGAGTGGGTTCTGTGACATCTGTGTTTTTTGTTTATTTTTTAATCTTGCCCCTTTATCCAGGAGCATACATTGTGAAGTCTAAGAGCTGAAGGGAGTATTTGGTGATGTCCCTATGAGTAGGAGTGGAACTTCTCCCTTCCTTTTTCCCCTTTGCACTTATGAGAAGTTGTAAGTTCATCTGTCTTAGAGATATCACCAGCCCAGCATTGACAATTTGCCTTTATTACCCAGCAGGCACTGACCACAGGCAGAGGATGGTTGGATGTTTTTGCTCTAAATGGTGAGGCCATTAAGATTTTCTCAGAAGAAACCTCCAGCAAGTACATTAGCTTATTAAAGAAATTTAGACAAAAAAAGGTACAGCTTTGTGGAATGGAATTTGGCTGCTATTATCTTTTTTACTTTCTAATTACTTAAGATATTTCAAGGAGTAGGAGAGGGAGTGAACTAGATATTTTTGGCATCTGCATCTCCTAGGAATGAATGGACACATTTTGTGTATTAATATGGCAGCAAGAAGAATACAATACAAATCAGACAATAAAATTATCACTGATATGGAAATCACCACCATTACAGAAGATGCTTCTTGTCACAGTGCTGGTATAGGCACAATTATGCTTAGCTTAGTTTTGCTCATTATAATGTAATTTTTTGTGTGTGCAGCAGATCATAATACATTTTTAGTTGAACAGCAATTCTAACAGTGAGAGACAGACATTGCCCAAATTAACTGCTACAATAGGGAAAGAATTAGGAGAGCCTATTTTATTAAAACTAGTGCTATTTTTTAAATGGCCTAGAATGTTAGTTTTATAAGGTGAGAGAAAGAAAAGCAAGAAATAAACATAAAGCACAACACTAGCTATATCCTGTAGATGCTTTACTTTATAAAGAACTATAAAAAATGCACTATTTTTTTGTGTGTTCCAAAATATTCATATTCCACTAGCTATATTTTTACCCAGTTTCTCCCATTTGTTTAGTTAGTAACTGTGCCCTTAAATACATAAATTTAGTGCTACCAGGTGCTTGACAGAAATTCATCTGCCTGGGATGATCTTTCATCAGTGAAAATCCACATTCTATGTTTTTCATGGATGGTAGCACAAAGAAAATTCGAAATAGGAGACAGATCATTTACTGCATATTATTGCACATAAACTTAGCCCCCAAATTTAAAAATATTTTTAAAACATCAGCCAGTGTGGCCAGATGACTGAAGGGGCCCTGCAGATGAGGTCATGGCTGAGTGAATGCCCAACCCAGGGGGTGCAATGAGAGGCTCTCGTCCAGGCCTCCTGCTGGGAGACTTGGCTTTGCCACACCAGAGAGGTGAGCTGATGAAACAAGCCTGGAGCCTGCTCCCTCCCTCTGGTAGACAGAAATCTTTCAGCACCATCGTCATCTGGATCATACTATTGTCTAATTTCATTTGTGAATCCTGAAGCATTTCTCTTTTCTCGTGCTCCATGTATCAAGTAGGAGAGCAATAATTAAAATTACACCAGAAAAATGCATGCTTTGGGGCCCTAAAAATAGCTAAATTTGTAAAGATTACACAATAAACAAAAATATTCTCTTCAAGTTTGGATCTTATTTCTTGCTTTATTTTGAACTTTTTAACAAAAGTATTTATCCAAAGCTGAAAATTTTGCTACCATGATACTGTCGTGATCCATTATCCTGATACTCTCTTAGAACTTCTTAGAAGCACTATAACATATTAATTAACTGTCACTAAATTAAATAAATTAAGGAATAAATTGATCATTACAATTTAATTTAAAAATCTAGTATCAAATTTGTTATGGTTGAAAATGTTTCACTGTCACCCTGTAACTAACCTAGTATTGGAAATAGATGGGTTCTCTATTATTCCTAATGCAAATACAGGTTTTCTAGAAGTAATAATACTAATTAAAAAGGAGGAGAAGGACATTGTCATAACCTGAAGTTATCATTTGTCAAAAATACAGAAGATATGGTCTACAATTACATTACTGACCACCATATTGTTCCAAGACTGCAGACTAACATTCAAATAGAACTGAATGTCTATGCTAACATCTTCAAAAGCATTTCAAGTGAGGCCAGAATCAGGCAATTTTATTTAATATGTAAAAGAAACAGTGCATAGAGAACCATCAAGTGAGCACATTTTAAGACATTCTATTTGGATTTCTCAAAACCAAAAAAATGCAATCAAAAACTAGCAATGCTTAAGGCATTAAAGAGCACAAAATTAGATATGGCCGGTATCAACATAAATAAGTCCCACAGATTAGAACTCCACTTACTGTTCCATTTTTAACACAGAATTATATAAGGAAAGGTCTAGTTCATATTAAACTTCACACTTAGCATGTGATGTCAAAATACCAAACTGATAAGTGCCAAGAAAAAAGTTTTAAAAATCAATGAAAAGAGTTAGCAGTATATTTTGCTTGGTCCAGTGCAATCTCTTCTGTTGTGGATTGAATTATGTCCCCCCAAAACTCATTGAAGTTTGAATTGTATCCCCCACGTTTTATGTCTTAGAAACTTAGCCCCCACTGTGACTGTTAAGAGGGTGGGAAATCCTATTATGGTAATTGAAAGGTGGACCCTTGAAGAGGTGACTGGATTGTAGGACCACACGGTAGTGAATGGATTAAAAATGGTGGTCAAGGGCATGGTTCTGAGG